CGATTAAACTTTAATACTTAATTATCATGTTGCTGGATGAGGCCGGAGCCAACTGTGTACCGGTGCCTTCAACTGAATGGTTGACCAGATTTGACACCTATTAATTTATTCAGCTAACACGCTCCATATGGGAGTTAATCTAGGAATTGATAACACTGAATGAGTTATCAATTCCACTGATTGAGTTATCAGATTCTGGATGTTAATGACTAATTTTCATCTATTATGAGAAAATTGATAGTTGAGCACTTTGTGGTTGCAAACATTTTTGCATATAACTAAGACTAGGGTTTATTAGAAATGCTGTTGATGATTCCAATGAAACTGCAAGCTAACAGCTGTTATCCTATATGAACTCTTCTTAAGCTTCACCCAGTCCTGTGGGCAGGGCGACGGTCTCGCGTCATGCAGGTCAGCGTTCAATCTCCGACCATCCAATGATTGGGCACCATTCCTTCGCCCGTCCCTTCCCAAATCCGGACCCCATCCCAGTGCTATATAGTCGTAATAACTTGGCGCTTTCCCCTGATAATTACCCCCCCCCCGGGTGCTGCATATATATGTTGTTGTTGTTGTTTTAGATTCGGCTACCCGGAACAAAACGTTCCAAGTAGCACGGGCTATGGTGAGCCCGTTGTGGACTTACCTGGTAGAGGAGCGGGGCTGTAACTCATATTTCTGTAATGGTCTTATTAAGGCTGTGCAAATTGCCTTAAAAGAGCCTTGATTTATGTTTATAAACGTAGTTATAATGTTTGTCAACGTCTCATACACTGCTGATGTTACCCTGTTCATGTACCAAGTCCTCTCCAATAATCAATCGCATTTGAAGTCAAAATCTCCAGCGGACAAAACATGATGTTCTGTATTATAAATCATAGTGGTTCACAAACTCCCACCTTTTCTATGTATTGTGGTCTTCGGTTAGGTTAGGATCTGGCAGTTTAGTACATCATTTGTGAAACGTGACAACACGAGAGGATGGGCTGATTTTGTGTGCTTCTGGAATAAGTGTTGGGATTCAGTATAACACTCAACATATAATATTACTGTTATTCTGGTTACATAGTGTAACGTAACGTAACGCAACGGAATATACAAACATCATTCTTTTGCCCAAATAACATTCCACTCTTATATCATTTTCCCTCTTCGAGGCTTATAGCTACTTTCCCAATTATGATGAAGATACCTCTTGGTTTCCTTTCTTCAATTTCCATCATTATTACCTCAATTACCTTGAATTCTAGTAACCATTTCTTTTGTAACCCAAGTTAACCTCGTCGAATTAGTTGTCTAGATGGCATAACTCAATCAACCTGTGAACTGATACTGAATTATGCTCACCAAAATGGATGTATTTTTGGTTAGTTTCATTGCTTGGGAGTAGCAACTGAAAGCATTAGGAAATTATCTGTAACATTGTACATTATAATTCCAACTGTTATTATATTTAAAGTCTGATTAATAGATTTATGATTAACTACACTCGCTGATGAGCAATACTCGTGGCAGTTTGGTTATTAATAGAGAGTATTTAGGCAAGTAGACCATGGAAATATATGCCCTTACACTGGCCTCTTTATCAAGTTACATTTCACTCCATCTTTGTCTAGTATTTCCTCTAGATTACTGGTTCCCAAACTTGGGACCATAGCCCCCTGAGGGGCCTTTTGTCAATATGTTGGGGACCATAAGTTGAAACAGTATACAGGTTACTGCACTCAAAGAAAGAAAACAACATAATAACAACAATAAATTTATGTTGCTAATTTTTTTTAATATCGACTGTAAGGGGGGCGGGGGCGGTTAAAAGGACGCTCTAAGAAAAAAAGGATGATGACTGTAAAGAGTCTGGGAATTCTGGCTCTAAGTCATTAACCGTTTTATGACAGGTTATGTAGTTATGCATCAGCATTGATTATCTGGGAATGATTCAATATATTTACTCTTGCAGATGATGCTGGCTATTGTATATAACGGATATCTAACAGCACCATCATTCATGGTGCCGCTTCACCATTCATCTGTAAATAATTCCTTAAAATATCTGTGAATGAGCCACTAAATAAAAACATTTCACGGTAAAATTTTAATTTAAAGTTGGGTGTCGGTGTCTGAAAACCAAAAGTTATTTACTTTGTGTCTCTACTTATACATTATGAAAAATTATAACTGAATAGTTAGTTTTGAACGATAAGAGTTTTTAAAAAAATATAACAATATAGTCCTGTAATTTATTGTAATATGAAGTTGTATTCTGCTTTAGAAGGGCTAAATCCAAAGTTATAGCCAGTACCAGTATAAATTTTACATTATTATAAATATTTACACGATTTATTTTCACGTGAAAAATATTTCTAAACAACAACCTGCGGCATTCCCGTCCTCTTAAAAATAACGTCACTTTTGGCTCGTATGCGCGGCACTATGGCCAAATCTGGACGTAATTTGAAATGAAATCGACTGACAAAAGTGACGTACTGTCCCGTTTTCTGTTTGAGTCGTCCTGCCTACTCGGTAAGGTTAGAAGAGGAAACTTTCAATTAACGTTTTTAATAACGTTTTGAAACTTTATGAGAATTTCCTGCCCACCTAACCTATCAGAGGACCCTTAACTTACTTTTGTTGAAAAAAAAATCCCAAATTTATTTTCATTTTTTTTTTCATTTCCAAATTACGTCCACTTTCGGCCATACGGGCAAACGGCCGAAAGCGACGTTATTTTTAAGAGGACAGGTTGCACAAGATAGAGACTTGTGGGTTTGGTATAATTTGATTCTGAAATCAGATTTTGAACAGGGATCTTTTTAAATAATTTCAACAATACTGTACCCAAATATACTTGAGGATTATTTTGATTAAATTTTGACACATTAAGCTATTATTTAATTCCAAAAATAATTGTATATTGTACTTTTCCAAAGAACATTAAATTTGATTTGAAAATCCAGGCAAATATTTAAAGGATTTTCATTAAACTTGACTATAATCCGTTCAACAATACTTCTTTCTATTACTGATTTATAAGAGGTTAAAATTTTACAATGTTACAATCAGGCGAGGGGACTTTATTCCTTATGCCTATATACGGTGTGTTTCATCTCTACTGCGTATATAGTATGGTTCATCCCTCATGCTTATATACGGTGTGTTTCATCTCTCAGGCGTATATATAGCGTGCGTCTTCTCTCAGGCGTATAACTAAGTAACCATTGCTAATGCTGTTTGTGTTGTTTAATGCTGAATCGAAATCCATATCCTTTTCCCCATATATACACTCTTCATAACCCTCCAAAATGCATGTACAAGCTGGTGGGTTCTGTATTACTATTCAAATACTTTCTCGAAAACTATTGACCCAATAGCTACTATGGATGGAATGTATCAACTAGGGATTGTTGTATTCCCTAAGAGATTTCAGTTTTTCTTCTATTGAAGTTCACAAGGCCTTAATAAAATTTAAATAGTGAACAGAAAGTTATCTTAGCCTATTCTAGGTCTAAGTGAATAACATTTGGCCAACATATGCAATCTTAGCCCCAATTTAGTAGTTATATGTACAATTCTAAGTTCAGGAAGTCTGAATTGTTTGTTTTTCGTTCTCGGACGCTACATGCTACACAATGAATAGTACGAAACGCTGACTTTTTGCTTGCAACACTTCATATTATATATTTCCATCCATAGTTACTATATGTACTCTCAGTTTTGGATGACAGGTTGTAATAACCTTTCTAAATTTTTAAAAACAAAATAAATGTTGAAACCCTTTAAAATCTGAAAAATATTTGCCATACTATTGGTAAATGAAAGTCATAATATATTATTGTGAACTGTTACTGTTGAGTTAGAATTACGATTGGTTTGTGTTTGATTATGATATTAACAGTGAAACAGTCCGATTGTTGATACTCAATTCGTTCATCCTAACAGAGAATCATCTGGTGACCTATTGTGTTCTTATATTAATTCTCCATCTTCATTAAATTCCATGATACTTCTCAATTTCTCTTATCCACGTTAATTTTAATGATGTACACTGATTTGTTTAAATTAACGTTAATTTAAATGTTAATTATTAAAATCATGTTACGGCAGATTCAAAATTTTCCCAACAAGCTTTTTTTTATCGTTGACTGTTTTTTCAACACGCTCCATCTCGTCTTGATGGCATCTTAGCTGTGTTGTCACAACACTTGTCTTGATGGCATCTTAGCTGTGTTGTCACAACACTTGTCTTGATGGCATCTTAGCTGTGTTGTCACAACACTTGTCTTGATGCCATCTTAGCTGTGTTGACAACAATTGTCTTGATGGTATCTTAGCTGTGTTCACACAACACTTGTCTTGATGGTATCTTAGCTGTGTTCACACAACACTTGTCTTGATGGTATCTTAGCTGTGTTCACACAACACTTGTCTTGATGGTATCTTAGCTGTGTTCACACAACACTTGTCTTGTTGCCATCCTTAGCTGTGTTGACAACAATTGTCTTGATGGCATCTTAGATGTGTTGACAACAATTGCCTTGATGCCATCTTAGCTGTGTTGACAACAATTGTCTTGATGGCATCTTAGATGTGTTGACAACAATTGCCTTGATGCCATCTTAGCTGTGTTGACACAAGAATTGTCTTGATGGCATCTTAGATGTGTTGACAACTCTTTTAGATGAGGTGGAACGTACTTGGAAAAAAGTATTGATTACTACAAAAACGTAAATGAATGCACTCACTTAGAGTAAGCTAAATGTAGAATATTTATCATCTGATTTACTATTTGTCTCGTTATTTCAATTAATTATATTTCATTAGAGAATCTTATAAAATGTTCATGGTAAATCCTGTGCATGTTATTAATGGCTCACTTCCCGACTTTCCTCCAACAGGGCATTCTTTCATCGTTATCTTTTTCTTTGTCTCGTTCTCCTTCCTTCAGCTTCCTTCCCGGTAACCCCTTATCCCCCGGGGCTGCCTTGACCAGTGTTCTTCTACAGAGTGGCGCGTCAGGATGTGTCGCTCCAGGGAAACATCCACTGTCAGGCCACGCCCATCGCCAGGTCCTCGGGCCCTATCAAGAGCTACATCCTGTGGGAGGGACTCGACTCGAGGGCGGCCTGCTGACCCTGTATGTGGTCGTCAGCCCATGTCCGACCAGGAGGGTGTTTGTGTGAGTGAAAGTGTCTGTAGCACAGGTATGGACCCTCTAAGATCGCTGCCTCCTATGATGCCACCTACTTCCAACGCCTTAGTGCTTCCCCCAGGCGTCTCGCTGCTACAGTCTGGTGTCGGACTTCCAGGCCTTGGTGTCGGTGGGGGAGTAGGTATGGGCGGCATGATGGGACTCGGGAGCGGTCCTAGTCTAACTTCTTCGGTAAGCATCGACCTTCCCGAACCAACAGTGATATCGGCAGAAGAGGCCGCCTCAGGGGTTCAGATGGGCATCAAGGTCCGAGGGCTGGACCTCATGCGCTACGGCAGACTTGAAGATGGTGTATACAAATGCAGTGAGTGTGAACGAATCCAAATCCCGAAGACCTTCAAGACATCGTACTCATTCCAACGACATGCTTACCTGTACCACGAAGGCCGACCCAAACGCTTTCCTTGTCCCGTGTGTGGGAAAGAGTTCTCCAGGCCAGATAAAAGGAAGAGTCACCTGAAGGAGAAACACGGACTCTTTCAACCCGATCCCTCTGATCAGTCAGAGTTTCCAACTTCCTTATAGCGACGGCAGACGGCTAGGCCTTCTTGGGAACACTGGGCAGGGTTTGGGCATTTCATGGGCATAGACGGCTTAATCTAAATATTCTAAATTACACTCACTCTGTTCGTGAGACATGCTTTCATTAAAGATTTCTTAAAGGAATTAACTTCCTCTCTCTTTTTAAACGTTTAAAATTACTTTTTACTAACCAATATGACCAAAGCGAAGAAATGTGGATATGAAATTGGCTCTGTATAACCCAATTTTCATAATCAATAATATTTAAACTATCATTCAGTAATTCAATAATTAAACAGAGCAACTGATTTGTAGTTGCTAAATATATATTTAATGTTTCTTGCCATTACTGTTGTGTAATGATACATAAGCAACATATTTCATATGAAGTTTGGAGTACATAATTTATATACCTGATACCTGATAGGCACTCTGCGGTACAAAGCAGTTTACATGTTTAGAAAACTATACAAAGGCACATAAAACTGTAGTTAGTCTTAGAGAAGCTGCAACACCTGCTCCACGCTGGCCTAGTCCCTAGCCAACCCTGACAATTTCACCCTGCGAATGAGTTTAGTTTCTTATCCTCGATACATATGCTTTCGAGACCTCCTTCCTTCCCCACACACACAAACAACGTTCGGAGGTAGTAGTCCTCTAAGAGCGCCCCGGGTTCGATTCCCGGCGAGGCAGAAACTAATGGGTGTTTTTTTTTCACCTGATGGACCTGTTCATCTTGCTGTAAATTTGTACCTGACAGTTGACAGCTTCTACGGGCTGCATCCTAACGATGTGTGCGTGTGTGTGTACTAGAGAAATATACGCAGTAATATAACGTGTAATTTAGTACAACGTAAATTTTAGGGTTGGTGAATGTTAATCTTTTTGTCTGATAACCTGTTCACTTGAGACAATTAAGCAAGTCCCAGCTCTGTCTGGGTACAAGTGACAGGATGAAAAACTCACCGGGTTTTCTTCCTATTGGTGGGTGCCGTACATTCTGCTATAGCGGTATGTTCACTCACAGGATGAGTGGCGCTGCCCAGTAAACTCGCCCTTCGAGGCAAATAAAATATGGCAGAGAAAAACTAGGTGCGAGTCAATACATTATTCAACCGACGGTCAGAAGGGCGAGTCCAAAAGCAGACAGCTCGATGCTACAGGCACATATAGTAAATATGCATTATAAATACACATATACACAAATGAAATGCACTAGGTAGTGATTTGGCGGAGGAAGACTCAACAAATAGTTTAAAATGAAGCTATGATAGAGCCCAATTGGCTCTCTCATAGCTACATGGGAGCCCCATCATCGTTCTCCCCATTAACGCCACCTACATCTCCCGATCACATACGCACGCTATCCATACCTTAGACTCTTCCCTCCTTTTCCCACATTATCCCAGACTCTCCTTGTTTCCCTATTCCTGGCCCCTCCCTGCCCTCCCCATCCCATAACCATGCTTCCACCCTTGTCCTGTCCACCCAGGCGCTAGTCAGCTTCTTGAGGGGTTGCATCCTAGAAGGGTCAAAATTCGACCCTTGGGGGAGGGGGGGGGGTCCTCGATAAAAGCCTAACATGTACTGTATGTATAAACTGGCTTACTGTCCCCCGACACAATGAATTATTATTATTATTATCATTAAAAAATATTTTGAGACAATACAGTTAAGGCAGGCATCTGGGAATCACCAGAACGCGAGTTCAAATCACCCCAATGCCTCAAAATTATTTTCATTGATATATCACACCGTTGTAATATCATTGCTATCTAAGTGGAACTAATACAGTGAAAATATACAGGCGCCACAGGAACTGTGATGAGGATTCGAACCTATAACCTGGATATTCCCAGACGCACGCTCTATTGCTCTAAACCACTAGGCCAGTTACAACTTTGGGTTCTCGTGAACCCAAGAAGGTTCCCACGAGAACCCTCATGGATTCTCGTGAGACATCTCTCTCTCTCTCTCTCTCTCTCTCTCTCTCTCTCTCTCTCTCTCTCTCTCTCTCTCTCTCTCTCTCTCTCTCTCTCTCTCTCTCTCTCTCTCTCTCTCTATATATATATATATATATGTATACACACACACACTTAGTAATCACATCATTCTTGATGTGAAATTTTGATATAAACTGAATTTCGATTATTTAGTACGAAAAGTTTTGATCCCTGCTAAGCAGCCTTTCATAATACTGTATATAAAGTCGGCCTCGAATAACGCAGTTTTACTGATAATTTCGACTTAATACAATAAATAAGTAAAACGATTCCACAGGAATAATGACGTTGACTCATCTTTTTTATCTTTCAAAGTTTATTATTAATTTTTTTTGATGTCACTTGTGTGTATTACAAAACTGCGCAACTTTTGGGGCTCTGAAAAACGCTGGCCAAGACAAGAGTTTCTATAATGATGTTGGGAATATGAGATTTGATCAAGCAGCTTGATGCAGCATCCAGGGGTAGAAATACAGCTAATTTACACGCCGCTAGAAACATGTAAACATTTATGCACAAAATGTCAACAGAACTTTAATAAATACTTAGCAGAATGAGACTAATTATTGTATCGATCAGCGTAATATATATTTGCTGGCTGAAGGAAGTTGCTACTTAAGAACATCAACTTCCGAAATGCTCAAGTTGGATGTTGTCTCTCTGTCTCTCTTCAGCTGATGGGTGATTGTATTGTGAATTCTGTGCAACAATATATTTTTATGCTGGCTTGGGCACTGACAAATCTTATGATGGCATTAAAATAGACAATTCAACGCATTATGCACAATGCAACGCTGTATAATGTATAACATTATGCAACGTATATTTGTGTGGATTGGTCATCCGATAATACCACGCTGTTATTCTAGTGGACTTAACATTGAAGGTTTGAGAATATAATTCACATCAGAGCATGTATATTAATGTTAATGTATGCAAACTGTAAACTACAAAGAGTGACTGCATGAGGTTATGTCTTGCGTTTAATATCGTTAACATATTCAGATAATTCATGCAATATTTCCCAGATGAATTTCCTCTTATGTTCAATACCTGTATAACACGCATAACGATAATGTATATTGTTTAACAATGAATGTTAAACCCTTTTAACCAAAGATTGTACCCGGTACTTTCCTTAATCATTAAATATATAACTGGCTAAATGAAAATGTATTCAGTCTTTACCTGCAATTTCATGTTACCTACATCAGAACACGAATGCCAAGGATAGTCTGACATAACAAATGAGCAATGCTCAATTGTTGCGAGGAAGGTAGTTGATGTGCGTTGAGTGCATGTATTTACAAGAATTTTAAGTATTTCCTAAGCACCGACTTTCACTATCAACGGTCATTCTTCCTGTGCTGCAGCTTTATATCATTCATTTTGGAGGCCATGTTAATGCCATAGCATCTTTAACCCCACCTCACACTTTCGGGTCATATCTGTATATCGGCACCCTTTTAAAATACTCAGAGCAATGTCTGTGTCCCAGCACTCCCTCACTATTCGAAGCAATGTGTTTATTCCAGCACCATTTCACATTATCAGTATGTCTGTGTCCCAGCGCCACCTCACACTGTCAGTGGTCATGTCTGTGTCCCAGCTCCATCTCACACTGTCAGTAGTCATGTCTGTGTCCCAGCTCCATCTCACACAGTCAGTGGTCATGTCTGTGTCCCAGCTTCACCTCACACTGTCAGTGGTCATGTCTGTGTCCCAGCTCCATCTCACACTGTCAGTGATCATGTCTGTGTCCCAGCTCCACCTCACACTGTCAGTGGTCATGTCTGTGTCCCAGCTCCATCTCACACTGTCAGTAGTCATGTCTGTGTCCCAGCTCCATCTCACACAGTCAGTGGTCATGTCTGTGTCCCAGCTTCACCTCACACTGTCAGTGGTCATGTCTGTGTCCCAGCTCCATCTCACACTGTCAGTGATCATGTCTGTGTCCCAGCTCCACCTCACACTGTCAGTAGTCATGTCTGTGTCCCAGCTTCACCTAACACTGTCAGTGGTCATGTCTGTGTCCCAGCTTCACCTAACACTGTCAGAGGTCATGTCTGTGTCCCAGCTTCACCTCACACTGTCAGTGGTCATGTCTGTGTCCCAGCTTCACCTCACACTGTCGGTGGTCATGTCTGTGTCCCAACTTCACCTCACACTGTCAGTGGTCATGTCTGTGTCCCAGCTTCACCTCACACTGTCAGTGGTCATGTCTGTGTCCCAGCGCCACCTCACACTGTCAGTGATCATGTCTGTGTCCCAGCTTCACCTAACACTGTCAGTGGTCATGTCTGTGTCCCAGCTTCACCTCACACTGTCGGTGGTCATGTCTGTGTCCCAGCTTCACCTCACACTGTCAGTGGTCATGTCTGTGTCCCAGCTTCACCTCACACTGTCAGTGGTCATGTCTGTGTCCCTTCTTCACCTAACACTGTCAGTGGTCATGTCTGTGTCCCAGCTCCACCTCACAATGTCTGTGGCCATGATTGTAAAAAAAAAGCTATACATGCTCAGTCTATTGAGTTTTACCACAATGATTCACTTTAATCTATGTAACGTCTGATCAGCTAATGAGGAATGTGTTTGACGGGAGTCCGCAGTGCTTGAGTTATCGAGGGATGACTGGAGTACATTTGACCAGCAATAATACCCGATCTTATTTTTGTTACATTAATGGACAAATAAAGAAATGTTCATTGACCTCATTGTCTGGTTGCCAAATTTCTCCCATCCGTCTATGGTCTGACTCTTAATATATGGTAGGCTTAAAACCTATGTCGTGGACGCATTTAATCCTGTGCTCAATGAGATTATAAGTCTTTATTCTCCATATATTATATAATTTATAATTCCTTGTGATACCGTTCTGTGCAGTAACCAAGTGTTTCTTTACAGATAATTGAACCTGACATCAAGTGCTTCTCTGCATACTTGAAATATTTCCTGTTGTTTACATTTTATATACACTAAATACTGTGGCGTTATTGTGTTTTTAGCAATTTGATGTAATTCAAATGAAACATTTACTGTGCTGTTGTTTATATATATATGTATATGTGATTTTGAAAATAAAAATATGTCAATTATTGCAGTACAACAATGTGTTCGGAAATTTACTAAAATATTAAATCCTCTTTCTGACTTCCTGAAAAATTGCTGATGATGAACATTTCTCTGCTGAAGATGAACATTTCCCAGCTGAGGATGAACATTTCCCAGCTGAGGATGAACATTTCTCTGCTGAGGATGAACATTTCCCAGCTGAGGATGAACATTTCCCAGCTGAGGATGAACATTTCCCAGCTGAAGATGAACGTTTCCCAGCTGAGGATGAACATTTCCCAGCTGAGGATGAACATTTCCCAGCTGAGGATTAACTTTTCCCTGTTGAGGATGAACATTTCCCTGCTGAGGATGAACATTTCCCAGCTGAGGATGAACATTTCCCAGCTGAGGATGAACATTTCCCAGCTGAGGATGAACATTTCCCAGCTGAGGATGAACATTTCCCAGCTGAGGATGAACATTTCCCAGCTGAGGATGAACATTTCCCAGCTGAGGATGAACATTTCCCAGCTGAGTATGAACATTTCCCAGCTGAGGATGAACATTTCCCAGCTGAGGATGAACGTTTCCCAGCTGAGGATGAACATTTCCCAGCTGAGGATGAACATTTCCCAGCTGAGGATGAACATTTCCCAGCTTAGGATGAACGTTTCCCAGCTGAGGATGAACATTTCCCAGCTGAGGATGAACATTTCCCAGCTGAGGATGAACATTTCCCTGCTGAGGATGAACATTTCCCAGCTGAGGATGAACATTTCTCAGCTGAGGATGAACATTTCCCAGCTGAGGATGAACATTTTCCAGCTGAGGATGAACATTTCCCAGCTGAGGATGAACATTTCCCAGCTGAGGATGAACATTTCTCAGCTGCGGATGAACATTTTCCAGCTGAGGATGAACATTTCTCAGCTGAGGATGAACATTTCTCAGCTGAGGATGAACATTTCCCAGCTGATAAATGAACTTTACTTAGATCAGGAAGAACAGTCCTCAGCTGGTTACCTCAAGGTAACTCAAGGCTGATGTAAAAATTTGGGAGAACTTCTATCATTTGATATTCTCATCAGTCCACCTCAGTGGGAGGACTCTGGGATACACGAGGACAGTCCACCTTAGTGGGAGGACTCTGGGATACACGAGGACAGTCCTCCTTAGTGGGAGGACTCTGGGATACACGAGGACAGTCCACCTTAGTGGGAAGACTCTGGGATACACGAGGACAGTCCACCCTAGTGGGAGGAATCTGGGATCCTCGAGGACAGTCCACCTTAGTGGGAGGACTCTGGGATACACGAGGACTGTCCACCTTAGTGGGAGGACTCTGGGATACACGAGGACAGGCCACCTTAGTGGGAGGACTCTGGGATACACGAGGACAGTCCACCTTAGTGGGAGGACTCTGGGATACACGAGGACAGGCCACCTTAGTGGGAGGACTCTGGGATACACGAGGACAGGCCACCTTAGTGGGAGGACTCTGGGATACACGAGGACAGTCCATCTTAGTTGGAGGACTCTGGGATACATGAGGACAGTCCACTGTTACATCTAGAAAGGACACCTTCCCCATCACTCTTCATCTCGTAAGTGAAACTTAACACCGAATTTTGCTCGAATGCCTCCTTCAACTGCTGCAAACGTCTGACATCAGGTATCTGCATAAAAATGTCGTCAACGTACCGGCAGTATATGGCTGGTTTCAAGTCCATGTCAACTAAGACCCCTCCTCTATGGTACCTATGTAGAATTTCGCAAATAGGACACATAGGGGAGAACAAAGGGCAACCCCATCTACTTGTTTATACTTGTGCCCATCGGGATTCAAGAAGGGGGGCTTCTTTAGTGCAGGGTTCAAGTAACTTCCTCAGTATGCTCTCTGGTATGTCTACAGGGGGTACAAGCTGGATCACGATACACTCTGTCCAGA